AAAGATGACCCTGAACTATTGAAGTCATCTTTTCCGGCCAAGGCTATAATCATGGCCTCTTCTCTCGAGATGTAGAGATATGCACCGAACCATCTCTAACTGGTGGTTCATGATGTCACATTTCCTTGTTCCCGGGGTTCTTAGAGTCTCACTTCCTTAACAGCACTATTAGACTTACACTCTCACCAACTCTTTGTTGACTGTGAAAACACTTCCACGTGTCACCTTTAGATTTTATTATTTTAGATGTAAGCACCAACATAAGAGTTGCATTTACATGTAACGCCCACCAAAACAATTGTAAGCCGGTGCACAAGTGAATGCCACTCTGGAGTCTCAGAATGATTAGATATATCAGGTCTTATTGTTGTGTAAAAACAAGCTATCTTCGTGATTCAGACATGTTCAATCTAAATTGTAATAGAGCAACTTTAACATTACATTAAGCTCGGCTCTTAGAATATCCTCAACAAAACACATTCATCTCCATTAGGGGTACAACGCATCGTTAAACAAATTAAACCATGTGTTTTATGAGAATATTCTTCTAAAATTCTTGCACTTCCAAGTTCAATGATGCAAACATGGGCAGAGTCCCCTTATACATACTTTAAGGTTGCTAAGAAGCAGACAAGCCCCACTAAGTAAATGTTCAAATTTTTAGAAGAACCCCAAAAAATAAAGGTGTTTGGCACTTTATGTGCACTTTTTTACCAACAAACAAAAATTGTTTATTGGCACAAAAGATAAGGACTGTAAGTTGTCTGTGACAGAATCATATTTCAAGGGAAAAGGTGGTGATTTGGGCAGCTCTTCCTTTCTTATGGAGCAACCATGGTGGTGAAAGCAATTACTAATCCTTACTTTGCATATAAAAACACTGTTCTCTCCCAATCTTTTATACTTCAAATCATTTTCTTCATTTGTGAAACAACAACCTAATTTATTGATTTAATTCGTTAATCTAATTTACCAGAGTCATTTCATTGTCAAATGATTCAATCAAACTATTATAACTCGTTGTTAATCCAACGATAATAATCAATTATATCAACAATTTAGGTCCAAATAGCATTACTTGGGTTTCTTGTTAATCCTTTTGACATTGATTTCCTGAAACTAAAGATCAAGATTACTCAAGTCTAACATCATAAAATTTATTAAACTACATGCACATATTTATATAGTAAAAATTTATCCAGCCAACTACTTATTAAAAAAAAAAAAAGGTTCCCAACCACGTGTCCTTTAAACTCATAATTACAACACAAATTTCGTATATAAGTAATCACCGTAAAACATATGTGCATTAGGCACACTGGGTAGGAGTCAACCTTGGGACATTACGTCTTGAGGTAATAACCCTTGAAATCTTCTCATTTGAGTTATATTTTTTACACTAGAAACAATTTACTTGCTTTTTTTCCCACGGGCCGGCGACGATGACATATTTGTATTGTTAATTTTGAGTTGATGCATTCAACAGAAAAACAAAAGTTCGGTTTGAATGAGGTGAGGTTTTTTGGATGTTGCATATACAAGAAACAAAATATACAATATTGGTATTACCCAAATGGAATGGGCATAACAATTTTAAATCCGTCAAAGTAGCTCATATGACTATACCGTACCCTTTAGATCCTAAGTTTGAGTTTTACAAACGTCATAGGTATCTAGATATCTCTTTTTTGCAGGCATCTTGTGTTTATGTTGTAGCAACAAGTGAAAAAACACATGGTTAGAATGGTTTTCAATCATTAAAAATATGATATTAACAACTTCGCCTACATAATTATGTAAAACCAACCAAAAAGTCTTTCATATCAATAGAGTCAGCAGCACAAGCTTATCTTTCCCCTGCATTATTGCTGGAAGTTTTTAAACTTGAGAAGAATGTCAGGTGAAGGATTAGGTATAACTGTGGTGGCTTTTCTAGACATGAAGAGCTGTAAGAAGGTGGAGTTTGCACCTTTCCCCCCACAATATCGGGCCTAGTTTACATACAATAATGTGGTCTCTGTTCTATTGACAAATTTGGTATGTCAAAAGCTTAAAGTAAACTATAAGGCACAAATTGCAGGAAATTTTCAGAATAAAACTTAATAAATTTGATGAATTGGGAGCTAGTGTTTGAGAATTAAAAATTCTCTTTGATATAAAAGTAGTATAGTTGAGATTTTCTCTCAATGAGTTTTCTCTCAAATTGAATGTTTTCAGGTGTGTTCTCTCTGTATGCAGAGAACCTTATTTATCAAAGAGGATATATCAGTTAGCCGTTCAACTAGCTATTACCACTCAACATAATATCTTCAACTCTCCCAATATTTTTCTCAACTCCACCTATATTTCCTCAACTCTCTACGGTCAAAGAAGGCTAAAAATTCTCCAAACAGGATTGACTAGTCTTTCACTACTTGATGAGTCTCTCTAACCAAGTCACTCATGTTGACTAGAAAAGATCTAACACAAACACCCAATTATATCAATGTAATATATATGTATGCATGTATTATTATAAAATAATATTTAATACATAATAATTTCTCAAAAAATGTATATATAATATATGTCATGAATAATACAATATTTAACTAACAGACTTGGATTTTATATATTCCGGATTTAACCACCAACTGTGGCTTAATTAATATCGAAAGATTTTAGTCACATATTCCAACACAAATTTGGTTTGTCATGCCACTCTATTCTGCTATTTTTTCAAGTTTCTTTCATACTATTATTATCTTAAATTTGTAATAAAGATATATTATGTTTTGTAATAGTGATCTATAATGTAGTTAATGTGGCTATTCTACAATGCTTAAGTTGTTGATGTAGCAAACAATGCTGACATGACATACCCGCTAGCAAAATGAGTTTATTAGATTTATGTATTTGTATAGTATTGCTATCTTAGTAGCACTAGGGTGCAAACGCAGCCTACAAAGTTCAAAACCAGATTAGCCGAGCAGTCCTAATTAATAATCACATTAACCAATTAATAAATGGGACAACATCAATATCCTGCCACAAACGACATAAACCGAACTGCACAAGACTTGTACCTAACACTTCAAAAACTTGATCATAAATGACTATAAACGGATCAATTGTAAGTTGAACACATTTTAACACAACGATAGTTAAATTTGATACGACCCTGACATGACATTCTCAGAGCCAGCCCTATGAGTATATAAGACATTATTAATGTTTCTTTTGATATGATTGAAAAATAAAAAATTAGAAAGATAAAAAATTAGAGAAATAAATAAAACATCATGTTTGATAAGAAAAGAAAATATGAATGATGAAAAAGTGAATGGATTAACTTTCCTTCCATCTCACTAAAATCAATCCCTCTAAAATCGGAAAGAAAATTGATGAAAAGTTAATTATTTGTGTTGAAATGTATCTTATTTGTCTACTAGTTATTGTTTGTGCCTAAAGGCACAGAGTAATAAAAAATGATAAACAATAAATATATTTGTATATATATTCAAAATCAAATTATAAATATAGAGAAAAGATAAAAAAATTTAAGCATTATTTTACAGTGAGAAGTGGTGGGTAACAGTAGTGATGGTAGGAGACAGTGATGGTTATGGTTGGTGGTAATAACTGTAGTGGCGGCAAGGGCAGCAGTGATGGTGGTGGTGGGGGTGGGGTTGGCGATGATGATGGTGGTGGCGACGGCGATGGTGAGGGTGGTGGCGGTGGCGACGACGATGGCAGCGGTGGTGACGGCAGTGGCAATGCCGGCGACGACAATGGGGGTGGTGTTGGGGGCAGTGGTGGTGGTGGCAATGGTGGTGGTGGTGGTGGCAGCGATGGCGATAACGGTGGGGACAACAACGACGATGACGGCGGCAACAGTGGTGGTGGCGATGGTGATGGTGATGGTGGCGGTGGCGATGACAATGACGGCGACGACGACGATGGCGGCGGCAACAATGGTGGTGGTGGTAGAGGTAGTGGTGGGACAATTTTAAACACTATTTTTTTTTTTAAAGTATTTATGATAAATAATTTCTAGAAGTGTTTTTAAAAAGTAATTTCAAATATACCTTTAGAAGCCTATTTTTTCTTTTAAATTTAAGGTGTTAATATTAACCGTTAGATTAACTTTAAAATAAAATATAAAATAATCTCAACCACGAATAGCAAAAGTCATTTTATTTATTTTTGAAATTTGAATTGTAAGATACTTTATTATATATAAAATATATATACATTAATTTCATATAAACATACAATGATAAAATATGTATGTATATATATATATATTTTAAAAATAAATTAAAAAATTAAAAATTAAAAAAATTAAATTAAAAAAAATATTTTTTCCATCTTAACTAGGGGTAAAAATTTTCGACTCAACACAATGACTTGACTTAAACTCGACACGAATTTTATGACACGAACTTAAAAATGACCGAAAACGCGAACAAAAAATACAAAAAACTCATAATTTTATTACTCAACATGAACCTAACACGACTCGATTGTCCCCCCCTAATCTTAACTGGCACAAAAAAAAATTAGTAATTTTTATTTTTGATCCATCTAACTAAACACAAAGGAAGGAAAATATATCATTCTTACTTTCTATCCTTTAAGGATAAAAAATGTGTCCCTATTATTTTTCATTCTTTCTACTTTTCATCATTCCTATCAAACGGAACATAATGGTGAGTGATGAATCTATAATCCATTTCTAATCAAAATGCTAAGGGGGGTTACAATGTTACCAGGATAACATGCAACCAAGTTTGGGGTTATTTGATCTACAGCGAGAGGAAGAGAAAAAGTCCATGAATCTATTTAAGATGTCAAGAAGCATAGCTAGAGACAACCATTTCAGAAGCCAAAAGAATTTTGTGATGAGTCGACTTCCACCTTAAGATCGATCAAAACTGTATCAAGATCAATTTTGCAGCAAGAAAGTGACAATAGAAATTCATGTAACATACGACAGATGTTTGTAAGACGAGACATGTGTGCACTTTTGGATGGGATATTCATTGATATAAAATAATACAATGTGACTTTACAGTCGTCGAAACTCCGAAGCCAATCCCATTGATTCAAAGGAAGGCATGAAAATTGGCAGAAAAAAGATGAAACTGAGATGTATTACTAGAGCAATCTCAGAAATACATATTGTGATAGAAATTAAAAAGCTATTGTAACCATGCTTATATTAGAAGGCTTCTGATAAGAACAGCAAAAAAAAAAAATACCTATTATCAGAAGTGATGAAATTTCAAACGTGGGAATTAAAGCACTATGCTCATGCAATGGCTGACATAATTGTCTCTGCTTCCGTTGGACGCCATTTTGTTTTTTGAACACACAGCAATCCCTCGTTATTCTTTGAGTAAGTCAACCGGATCTTCCACTGTAGAGACTTGGCCAAGTTCTCCACCTCCCCTATGATCTCAATATTGTCCCGCACAATCAACTTCCCTTCGGGCCTCAGGATCCTATCAACTTCTGCAATCACTGACACTAGCTTGCATCTGCAGCCAGATAAACATCCCTCATATTAATTTACAGTAGTGACCAAGAATGTCCTAGCTGAGGACTGAAAGTCTAAAACCAAGGAATGTGCTGTGCAAGCTAACCTTTTCTTAATATCAGAGAAAAGATGATCTGCATGAAGAAGATCGTAGGATCTCGGATAAGTGCTGAATGATTCACACCAATCATGATATATCCCGAACAGGCCACGATCATATATAATTGGAAGTGTGTCTGGTGAATCAATTGGGACTACATTTATAACCCAGACATTCAGATCTTTCAGTGCTGCAGCAAATCTAAAAGCATATACAAAATGCATAATCAGGATACACTCCACAAGAGTTAAGGTAAAGAAAATGCAAGGAGCAGGTTCCTAGTCTCACAGGACAATATGACAATCCTATGGGATCTAAATGAAAAGACCGCAAAATTTTCAAGCACAAGATCAAATTCATCCCCGGACGTCAATTACTTCTATGAAAAGCATGACTAGTGGTGACTTGTCATCTGAATGTAATTAGACCATGCCAACCTTGCCAATTTTCTTTCTGGAACAATAAAAACACAAACTCTTACCCTCCATATACAGCTCTCATGTCCATGACATTCCTCACTGAAGACCAGTTGATACCCAACCCATTCAAATATGACATGGATACCACGCGTTTCCAGTGATCATAGTCAGCAGTGAAGTCCTCTGGAGCTGCTTTGCCATAAACTCCAACCTGAGAACTCTTCAACCAATAAGGCGGTTTCTGCAATCTTAGAGGCCATTGCTCTGGCCATTGTGATCCACGTTCAGATGCTAGTGGTATTTTGTGCATGCATGCCTGAAGCTTTATATTCCTGAATGGACAGCACAAAAAACAATTAATCACACTTGTGTTGAGTGGACTCACAAATTAAGGCAGTCAATGAAGCAGTTGCATCATCGTAGAGACCAGAGAGACTTCAATGGCCAACTAGACAACTTTTTGTGTATGGTATAGTGCTCATCGAGAAAATCTTAAGATCATTTTTTTTGACATACTTGAATATTGCTGTTTGTATTTGAATTTTTCCCTTAAATCAACCAACAGAAGCGGTAAACCTTTTATCAAAACTGACAATATGGAGCTTCAGTTTACATATATCACAAAGAAAAGACAAAAGATGTGTGCACTTCATATATGCTTATCACAAGTCAAAACAATGTAACAGAACAGTGACGTGCAAACACATTGCAACCAAGCACAACCTCACCCCTCCCCAACCCCCCGAGTGCAAATTGAACGGGGCCTTTGTTCAGCATAAAGATTTACAGAATGTTAAGAGTATCCGAGCCAAATTCGATTTGTAATGAATGGAGTGGCCCCTCAATACACAAGCCAACCTTGGGAGAATCTTTTTGATCTGGGATACAAGCTCTCTTCACAATTTCCCTAACATGTGATCCGAGGTTGAATGTGGGCTAACAAACTATTCTGAGACACACTGATGAATAGAGCGGATATAGACAGAGAATTAAAATGGATGAGAAACTTGGCCCACCAACCCCTCAAGAACTAGCTCTAATACCATATGCTAAAGCATTCAACCCAAAACTAATTGACAATTGGTGGAGTGGCCTTTCAGTATTTAAACCAACCTTGGATGTACTTAACTTTCCAATGAGAAATACAAGCTCTCGTCAACCAGAACTTTGAGCTGAAAAACGAATATAAAGGAGTCCATTGTTTTCAGTGAAAGTACCAGCTGATGTTTCCAAAATCATATACCAAGTACAAAATCTAAATACGAAAGAACCCATAAATATCTTTAGCACGCTTCCTCTACAAACAGGTTTTCCAGAACTGTGAATTATTTTTTACCCTATGAATTATAGGCATACCTAGGATATGGAATATTAAGAGCCTCAGATGCAGTGCCATTATTGCCCTATGTGGCAGAGCATGTTTAGCTAACTTTTTGTTCCTGTACATCCATAAAGATTTATAGTTACCGATCTTGATGTGGGGACATCCATAACAAGAACTATGCTCATTGTTACTGTGTTTTTCTGAACTTATATTACCATTGGCTGTTGTAGTCTTGTAGCCAATATCAGTAACCCAATTACAGACTCAATTAAGGAACACCAGAACCGAAAAAATGGGTTGCTGAAAACTATACCAAGCAGCATCTGGGTCATCAGCTTCTTTGCACAATGGTGGCTCATTTTGCGGTCTTTTCTCGTAACATTGGTTAGAAGTAGGTTTTCTATATATTGCAGCACCCACACTATTCACTTGATCCTTGTTAATCACAAATAGGTCCCAGCACATTGACTTTGTTAGTTCAGTCATAGCTGCACAGAGAGAGATAATTATAAGCAATTCGAGAATCCCATATAAGAGAAGTATAAACTAGACTAACAAGCACTCTACCTTTCCAAATGCCAACATCTTCAGGCAGCTTTTGGTAAACCGGAGTAGCAGACCACACAAAGTAACCACCAGGTCGCAAGACACGATTCAGCTCTAAGAGGAGTTTACCACCTGTAGCACAACTTAAAATGACTTCCTACAACTGAAAATAATCTTTGCAGAAACAAAGATTTGATCTGAAATAGATGCAAACTTCACCTTCAATATGCCAAGGGACTCGACAGCGTGCACAATGGACAACATCAAAGACCTTACTTGGGAAGGGTAGCCTTGTGGTACCCATAACAGCTGATATAGCAGGGATGCCCCTTTCAAGCGCAAACTGCACTTGGGCTTCATGTTCATCCTTGGGAGCAAATGACATCGCGAGAACATCCCTTTCAAACATGTATCCTCCAAAGCTAGCCACACCACACCCGACATCCAATACAACACGGCTACGTTTCCCCCATGCAATATTAGGAAGGGACTGCATTGAGAAATAAGATATCCAGATGTTAGCCATAACAGCAAGATAACAATTCCCATGACAAGCAATTCCTACAATATTGAAACATAATCGCAGTTAAGTAGTCATGCAGAGGGGAACCGAAGAAATTAGGCATCGGATAGCTTGTTAAAAGTAAGGTCAAGATGGCAAAATTCTGAGGACATATTGGTTGTAGTAGTTTAGGGAAGCCATTTGCTCGAGGAAGAACTCATCACCTGTGTAGTAACTATTGAATCTACACAATTGGCAAGCAAAGAGATAGCATCATAAACAGGTGCATCAAAGTAGACACCAAAGTATCTCTACAAGGATACAAATTGAGGAACTCCAACATTGACATGGAACTCACTGATAACAACCGACAATTCTAGTCCGAACAAGCAAATTCTTCAGCCAGTATCTCAAGAAAAGAAAAGAGTGAAAAGCACACTGATCATAGAAGCAATACCCAATCAAGACCACATGCATACCAAAATATAATATGAAAAAGCAGAATGGAAAAAGGGCCAGGTGAATGGTCAGAGTAATTTAAGGAGGCTTTGGCAATGATTTTAAACTACAATGTTACCAGAGCTGATATCGATAGATGAAGGGATTAGTCAACTATTCAAAATGATAAGTGTAAGGACTTCCATGTATGTTCTTGATAAATGTAAGGACTTCCATGTATGTACTTAATCGGTAAATATTCTCCCTACAAGTTAGTATGTTACACAGAATCTTCTTTGAATTTTGGCTGTAAAAACCAGGAACAAGCTACAATAAGCATGCAGTCACTCAACGCATATGTGCACTTATAGAGTACCTGTTAGTGTAAAACGGAATACATACTACAGAAGGTAAAATTAAAAAAATTCATCTCATCAGAATCAATAAATATGTATATGGATATATCAAGAAGCCACAGTTACTTCAGAAACTAAACTATGGAATTATGGATGGAAAGAGGCAGCATGGCAGGATTAAAAAGAGAAACACTAACTTTCTGGATTAAATCAATGTAATGAAGGGCGCCATTCTTAAACTGAGTCCCACCACCAGGAAAAGTAAGGTAATCACCACTAACTTTAACCCAGTTTTGATGTCCCTTAACCACTGCAAGCTTGGTGTGGGGAACATTATGATACCATATCTGCAAAATGAGCAAAAATAAACCATTTCAACCTGAATAAAAAATGGCCATGAGATTTTTCTATCATTAGAGTAACCAGAATAACTTTTTACACCGAATAAGCCACAATTACAAAAGCTTTCATATTGCCAGCAGATATAAGATATACCTGTTCTCTGCTTTTAGGCCACTTAATCGACTGTCTGTATCCCTCAGGTAGAGGGACAAGGCAAGTTGGAGCTCCATCTGGACAGTGCCGCTCTCGATGTTCATAGTGCTTAGTACTTGGCAGCTTTCTAATAGCTTGCACATTGTCAAGACACGGAATATAGTCTGAACCAGCAGTAACATTACAGAGTTTCCACTTATGTCCACTTTGGCCCTTGGACAATAAAGATTTTTGTGATTCCTTCTCATTCTCAGACTCCACCTCTTGCGTTTTCCAAGCTCCATTTTGAGTAGTAGCTTCATTTAATATCTCAGACTGGTCCCCAGAAGGGTAAACCTCATTTGAAGCCTGGTCCTTTGCCTGGTGATCCATCTTGTTAGTATTGGAGCTTTCTTCGGAATTGGTATCTTGATTTTCATCAACCTTCTCCTCACTTGTTTCACCATCTTCATTTCTTGTATCCTTGCCATCGATGTTTGGCTCCGTGTCTCCCAAACTTGATTGCCCCCCTTCTGAATTTGATTCTGTGTCTCCTGAATTTGACTCCTCGCCATCCAAATTTGATTCTCCGCCTCCTGAATTTAGCTGCCCACCACCGAACTCATCCCCTGAATGTGATTCCCCACCTCCTGAAACAAACTCTTTGTCCTCCCTTTTCCCATCTCCATCTCCATCATTTTCAGCATCTCCCTTAGATTCCTCTTCACTCTCTGTCCTTCCTTCAGCGCTTTCCTTCCTAAATTTCTCTTCTTGGATTTCCTTGACAGTATTCTCAGACTCTGTATCAGAATTGTTCTCATCCTGAGATTTTCCAGGGTTACCCTCTTCCTTAGTTCCATCCTCAGATAAATCTCCTGAACTATCTGCAAACTGCCTGGAAAATTTTTCAGATATTTTTTGTTTCACCTCAGTTTTAGTCCCCTGGGAAGACAAGTCAGAGTTCTGAACAGGAACAACAGTGGATGACATCAACATCCAAACCCCAACTAAACACAAACCAACAAACACCACAACAGTAACAGTTGAACAGCAGCTTGATGACTTTCTTCCATCGACCCGGGAATGTTTTCCCAAAGCCATGCTTCAGTATTCTTATGCTATATGCCTGAAAAGGCCAAACCAGAAAGTTTGAAGTCTGTAAATATAAACGTCTAACACTTTATATCAGTTGACTGTTGGAAACAGAGAACAAATCAAGAACTAGTTAAAACAAAAATCAAGTAGCTATTGGAAAACTGCATCGGATAATGGAGAAAATGACAATCAGCTAGGGGGACGTTCATGCAAATGAAAAGCATCCTGGGGGCATTAAAATTTCAGATCTAAGACACTTAGTGGCATATGTATAGTCGACACTCAAATCAAACAAAATGATGGCACATCACCCAAATAATGCATACAAGTGTACAACTTCTAGCACAAAATGGAAGTTTGTATGCATATCAAAGGCTTAGTTTCACATCATTCACCAGGATATTATCTTATGTCTATAATTCAAAGTTCCTTATGTATAGTGTATCTATAACCAAGGCAAGCAGCCCATTCAATGGATATGATTGGCTAGTGGTTGATAATTCTACAAGAAAGAAAAGTAATGTGGGAAGAATAATATTTACACATGTACATGTTCCAATACATTTACACAAACAAACTGCATACGTGAGAAACCTTCTATAAAAAATGAATATGTTATTACTGCAAACATCCAATATGTTGATGGGGCAGATAAAAGGAGAAATTTATTGAAATTCCTTTATTCATACATTTGACCAAACTAATTAAAAATCCAAATCTGTCATGTCTGCTAAACATTCGACCAAATTTCAAGGACCTAAATTCTTCAATTATTAGATGAATCAGATAATTGAATTTCAATATAAATCATCTTGATGAAAGCCCCTTTTATTTTAAAAAGGACAGGATTAATGTCACTTTAACAAGACTTTCCCAAAATTCAGCTGAATTTTTAAATAGTACCCATATACTCCAAAGAAAATCTTTTTCTCTATTAATTCTGGCAAATGTGTATCCAGTATCCAATTTCAATTGCCAAATCCATAATAATGAGACCACACTATCTTATAAACCAAAAAGGATAAAGCTTAGCTTCAAACACCCAAGGAGAAAACAAAGAAAGCAATAAATCAGATCAAGAATTCTAAAACAAAAACTAACCCAGAAAGCAACTTCTTTCCATGTGATTTCCAAAATTAGGAATAGTAGTTAGTTTGTACTAAAAAGAGCTAATAACAACTTTTCAAAACTTTAGTGATCTCAAACAGTTCAATATCATTAAAATCTAACACAGCCAAAAAGGAAAAAAAAAAAAAAGCAAAGAAATCGAAAGCAGGCCAAAAATCAACTGAGACAGAGCAGAAGCAAAAAACAAACCGTGTCTTAGCTAAAAGGCAGATCAAAACATTACAAAGTTCATATTCATATTACTGAATGGATTGAAAGGTGTACCTTTTTACTGGGTCTATGGATCTGGTTCAGAAAAACTAGATTTTGAAGCTCGTTATGTTAAAAGAGTAAAGTGATAACGAAAGGTGTTTGAGTTGAGACTGAAACAGTTCGTTGTTCGAGCTTTTAACTTTACATATTCAACTCATTCAAACTAGGGAAAGAGGCTGGCATGTGTGTGTGTGTGTGTGTGTGTGAGAGAGAGAGAGAGAGGGTCATTTGACAGGTGACCCACCAACCCAATTAAGAGTTGAGAGTTAAACTGCGTGCAGTGTGTGTTTTGACGAGGTCTAATTGCCAATAGTGATGATATTAAGCATGACAATGTGTTAATACTAACCAAATTGAAAAGACAAAGAGGAGCAGATGGTGATGGTGATCACTGATCAATGTAAAAACAACAAACGTGCACCGACACAAAACCACTCTGTATGGCATCATATCTTCCCACTTGGAGGACAATAAATGCCACCATGGGCCTGCCGGCCCGGCCTTTTTATAGATTTTCTTTTTCCATTGAATAAATTTATATTAAAAATAACTAAATTGTTTGTTTTTAATTTTTACGGTTCACATAATTTTAATTAGACTTTCATTCTTTTTATAATTTTAAAACTAATATCTCTGATATAATTCTCTCTCTCTCTCTATCGATCTATCTTACACTCTCTCTCATACTATTATCTATTTTTTTGTTTTTCAATATTATTTTTGTTATTATTTATTATATGATTATTTATTTCATAAAATTAATTTAAAATTTTTATATATATGACGGCAAATATTTTATCACTTGCTTCTTAATTTGTAAATAACTCTTAATATAAATAAAAAAATAGCACGTTGACTATAAATACCAAATAATATTCAGCATGGAATGAAACTTAGATTGTAAATTAATTAATATATAATTTTATTAAAAATTAATATTTATTTTTTTCCAATTTATATTAAACTTTGTCAAATTATTTTTTATTGTTATCAAATTAATATTGAAATTCATTTAATCAATTTTTTGGAGTACTAAATTATATCAATTTTTTGGGTACTAAATCAAATTTTATTTGATTTTATTAAATTTTTAATTTTTTTAATACTAAATTTGGAGAAGTACAATTGTAAAAATAATAAAAAATTTTGGAATCAAATTATAAATTTTTATTAGTAACATTGACAAAAAGGAAAAAAGAGAGGATCTCCATTTAATGAATTCAAACCTCTGGAAGTCTCTATGTTATTTATAAAGTGTCAGGAGGTCTTCATGTAATATTNTTTTGGAATCAAATTATAAATTTTTATTAGTAACATTGACAAAAAGGAAAAAAGAGAGGATCTCCATTTAATGAATTCAAACCTCTGGAAGTCTCTATGTTATTTATAAAGTGTCAGGAGGTCTTCATGTAATATTGTCAAAACTCAGGGGATGTCCATGATTTTTACTCAATTTTTTAATTAAACATTAATTTATTATTGTTTTATCTTAAAAAATTGAGTAGTTATTGGTTAGAAAGATTTGTTGGTAACCAAAAAAGAAATGTGTGTGAATGTGTTTGTGTGTATATTTATATGTGGAGGATTGAACATTTGATGATTAAATTTATAATTATATTATATCATTTGAGGTTGAATGGTGATAGTAATAATAAATTCATAAGTTTTATAAATGAGTAAGATTTAGTTAATTTTATTTATTACTTAAAGATTGTAAATTTAATTATAATCTATTAGTATTTTTTTTTTGCTTGAGGTATTTATTATATGGGAATATGATTAATTGAAAATATGGTGGTTGAGTTTATAATTATGTTGTGTTATTGGATTGAGTGGTAATAGATGTGATAAAATTCATGAGTCATATAAATAAGCAAGATTTTATTTATTACTTAAAGATTATAAATTTTAATGGGTTATGTTAGTATTTTTTTTAAGAGGTATTTGTATATATGATNTGACGAGGTAAAGTGGGGTTGGACCACTGCAATTTTCATAAATTGGTTTGTCTTTAGCATGTCATTGTCTGAGAATATCACAGCATCAATGAACTGACCTCTCTCGCTCTTTCTCTCTCTCTCTCACACACACACTAACACATTTGTTTTATGGTTGACAATTTCTGTAATGACAGTATTTGACTTGATCCGTAGTAAGTTTAGGTTGACTACTTTTCGAGGCAAACCCAAAAATGATGCAGCTTTCTAATACCAATAGTAAATGAGTCAGATCAGAGTCAATCATGAGGGCTTTGAAATTGACACGAGTAATACATTTATTTAGTATTTTATATATAAAATACCAAATTTTTGTATTTTTATTTAGTATAGACATGAATTCTTGTATTATAAGAGAACTAGTGATTGCCCGTGCCTAAAGGCACTTGTATAACAAACAAATCAAGGGGTAGTTGCGTAATATAAATATTCTATAGCAATAATTTTTTTTTATTTTCTAAAATCACGCAATTTTAAATAAATTAAGTTTTTTTATTTTCTTTTCTCTAATGTTTCATCTCAATCCAATCAAACCAAATTCAACTCAATAGTGATCCAACCAATTAGAAAAATACTTATTCTTCATTGCTAACCATGTCTCAATACAATTTTTCAATAATAGTACCAACCTTTATATTGATTTTGAGTTTCATTAATTGTAACATTAATCATAAAGAGTTCAATTCAAAAAATATAAACATAGATCATGACTCGAAAACACAAATGAAAAAACTAAAAGAGGATAATATCGAATCAAGGAAATCCTAACTTAACTCAATCAAATTGATATAAAACATTCCACCCACAAATAACGAAACAACTCACAAATCGAATAATTTGGATCATCATAACACCAGAAATCCACACATAATTAAACAAACAAACGAAAATCTAAATCCAACTGAAAATGAAGAAAAACCTTAGAACATCTCACAATTATCAAATACATCAAATAAAGACACATTGAAGCATACATACCAATGCATAGAAAAATATACAATCAAAAAAAAAAATGCATAGAAAAATAGAGATACAAACTTGTGCTTCCTTAAACTAGGAAAAAAAACTAAAATAATACACTTATCATGCAAACTCAAAAAATTCAGAACAAACACATTTTCCATATGAAAATTAAAACTCAAAACACACACGTCAACCAGGTAGACTGATGAGGGAGAAGAGAGTTTGTTCTTTAAAAGAAGCCACCAGTATTGTTTCTAGGCTTTTGTGACTCTTCAACACCAACTTTAATTTCATTATTCTCCTTATGCACTTGAATATTGGGAGGCTTCTAAAAAGAAAATAAAGAAAAAGAAACGAAAATTGGTTATACGCAAAACCATCATGTGCATAAAATAGAACTTAAAATATATGAAAGAAAATTATAAAATATTTTTACAAAACCCATATCAACATTCTCATAAAAAATAAACCTTTAATTAGAAAGAGATATCCAGTGAAAAAGTGGAGACAAATCAAAGCTACATTAACATTCACATCAAGAACTAATATTTCAAACAAATATATAGAAATTTATCATATAGGAAGGAAATTTAAACAAAAACCCAGATCAAACAATTGACCTTGAAGGACAATCACATCCCAAATCTCTTGAATCTTCTCAGAGAACCAAAAAGAAAAAGTGAGTGGCTGTGCGCCGAGAATGAGATAGGTATGTTTGTTTGTGTGCTGGAGCTTTGAGCGAAATATTGAGTCTTCTCAGAGAACCATTGGTTCTTGGGTTTCACTGATTCGAGCAGTATGTTTTTACAGTTTGATCGTCATACTCCATAAGGAATTTCTCATTTTCTACCCAAAAAAAACAAAGAAGTGAAATAAACTTAATAGACATTAGAGTACAATCTAACACAACTAATCACAGTCTAAACAGAAACAATGGCTGAAGAAGCAAGTTTTTCATGCAATTACCAATATCATGCTTCCATTGTAGAGATCAATATTCTTTCCATTCTTCATGACACTCGAATCATTTGAAGAACTTCGTACTCTTGGTTGCCCCACTTTATGCAAGCTATGTACTACTGCTTTCGGATCAACACTTGAGAACACAATAACTATTTCCCGAAAAAGACATTCACCCATATATTTGTAGCCCACATCTATATCAAAATAAATTCTACATAAAAAGACAATAGCAAGAAAAGAAAAAAAATATAAGAGTTTAATTTATGTGTCAAATCCCAACTATCGAGTTCTATACTCTAGTCAAGGTAGAGAGAAATTATACAAAAAAATTGAAATTTGGCTTAACTCAGATTGGATGATGTAGAATGAGAATCCTAAACCACTGAAATATTGACCAAATTTATATCTATCAATCCTATGTTAAACATAATCAACGTACAGTTGAGATAAATAGCATTTGTCACAATTTCTTAAAATCAAAGTCACAAACTGATGGGACATTTTCCGGGCACTCAAAGATAGCGACACGTGTACTCGGTGTCAAAAAATACTCTCTGCCGTGATCACGACACGTGCTCGTCGGATCATGATCCCTCTTTCCCTGAGATGGTACTATGCATAAGGATCTACGACGCCGGTATGCACGGGCGACACGTATTCCTCGGTCGATTGGGGGTGGGTACATCGGCCCTGATCATACTAGGCCCTCGACACCTATGTGTACCCAATACGGCGGCGTTCCTGTTCCTGCAGGGCTATTGATAGACTGGTCATCAGTTTGAGCTAGACTAGATTAACTATCATGACCTGGTCTTATATAGATGGTGTCATGACGCACAGGAAAGCAGAAGGCTCAACCAAAGGGGAGCTGGCACGTGGCATACTGTGTCAGATTAGAGGCAAAAAGACCAGAATGCCCTTGCTGACACACGACTTGGAAAAGCAAGTATTTAATGCACATTTCCCTTGATGAGACTACATTTAATGCGTGAAGACCCGAAAGTGAAAGACAAGGAATGATCCTGTGACAGAGCATTTAATATATCCCAGTCAAGTGAAGGTCATTAAATGCTCAATAGACTGAGGGTGATGCATTGGTTGCTCGGGGTCCCGAGCAGTTAAGGAAGAGGTCATTTCTCCTAAAAACCAATGTGCACGTTACCCGCCTCTAATGATCACCTACTGATCATATTGACAGCAATCATGAGTTTTTAAGGTATAAATACTCTTCACAAAACGCATGATGAGGTATGAAAAAAACATTTTCTCAAACCTATACACAGTGTTTTCTTTTTCCCCTCTCTCAAAAAACTGACTTGATCGTCGGACGGGATATGCCAAAAAACACTCCAGC